AAGTATCGCTGGAAAACGTCCATAGTGCGCGAGATTTGAGTAATTGTCAAATATTCCCAGTAATATCACCCATATTGATATTTTTAGAGAATTATTAAATACTCTTGAGTCCAGAGGAAATTAAAAGACTCTAGCCGCACTCATACAGAAGTGTTGATGGCGAAATTCTGCCTTGTGAAGATGTTTGTCATGCGCACACTCTTACTTGTTTCGCACTTTAATCTCGAAGATTGGTGGGCATGATTGATACTTGCTTTGGGGGGTGCTCGCATGACTCTGTCTAGCAGCAGACCATGCAAATGTACTGAATTTTGTTTTTAAGGGGAGCAGGAGAAGCCGATGAATATCCTAAGGGACCAAGTAATTGCTTACCTTATCTGCCTTCAATACATGATGGTAACCGGAGTTAGCCATTTTCTGCTTTAAATGCATCGGGGCTTTGCCATAAGACAAATTATGATGCCTCAAGCATGCAATTGGCTTATTTGTACCATATTCTTACTTTGCCCCAAATTTCTTGAAGTGGGCCCCTCATGGCTGCTTTAACCAGATGCTTTCTATAGTTGTCATGGCTTGCTGATTGGCCAAATGACCTGTACTGTATATATGCACTATATTTTTAACACAGGGATACTGTAAGCTGCATAGCAATTATAATATCAGTTAGATATTGCTAGTGTACCAAATAGTTCAAGACCCACCCCATTTAAAAGATGAAGCCAACATCTCAAACTTTGTCATCAAATATGAATAAACAAGCCCAAATGGATGCATTTGCTGCAGCTGAAAAGGCAAGCAGCAATACTGGCATGGTCATCTAAAAGTTACATCATTTTTGGAGAGGAGAGATTGTTTTGTGGAGCATACCCATCATTACCCTTGACATACGCTAACCATGACAATCAAAATAAGTTGTCCAAAGTGATTTTAAAGTGTTTTGATTTGTGTGTTGTCAACTTTGTCTGATGTCAACAAGCATGCATAAATGAACTGAATAAACATGCAAGTTGAAACCAGGCAAAACTAGCTTTAAATATCATGTTTTTATCACAAGTGCTGCTGTCAACAGACAGGTGAGTTGAGATGATGTTCATCATAAGGGCTACTCTAAGTTAGGTTCAGTTGGTCAAGTGCATGACAAGTGGCAGTAGGAATTGTGCAGAAGCAGTAACTCACAACTGCTGCTGTGATTCAAACAGGTTATACAGGATGAGATGATGTAAGGCCTCTTTAGGTTAGGCATAGGCTACTTTCATAGGAATAAGTCTTGGTTATTGTAAGAAGCAGTGAAAAAATGTCTCTTTTCCCTGACCCCACCTTAACAGAAGCCAGAAGTATGTCTATTTTGTTTGACTTGGTGATGGGCTGATGTGTAGGAGTCTAATGTTTCTTTGTTTGAGTGTTTTGTGCTCGTTGAATTTTCTGTTGTTATATTGTTATGGAATTCCTTTGCTTTGTTTTGTTTTAAAAGTGCTGTGGAAGGGAACTGAAAAGTAGAGCACCAAATTATTGGTGTTAGTAATTTGTTGTGCTCACAGTACTGTCATGAAATTACTATGCTTTAACATGCGCTCAGTTGGCCGGGTAGACACCCTTCGCTCGGGTGTGGGGGATCAATATGAACCACCCTCTGAGGTCTCGGGAACTAAGAAATCTAGAGACACCAAATTTACAGGGTGTCTTGACCTATACGTGAACTCACTTAGGTTAAGGTTTCAGCTTGCTAGGTTTTGACCTTCGGGTCGAATAACGGTCAAACAAGGTCAAATTCCAGGTTGGTCTCCAAAGTACCCCCAGAACCTAGGCAGCTGTCTCTAAGCAAAAGGCCACAAGCCCATTTGAGGTCATTGGCCTTGTTTGACTCTTTGAAGTTCACGGTGACCAAAGTGATACAAGACTGCCCTGCGTTTTCATTTGAATAAGCGACAAAGATTACGTTAGGCAGTATGTTCCTAAAACAAAAGGTTCGACCCGGGTCGTCTTAGGCCAATCGCCTGTTCTGACCTCTAAGAAGTCAATTCAAAATGTATAATGCTGTTCATGCTGTCAATAAATTCGAAATGAGCACCAGCAATTATCCCATACAGCAACCCATAGAGTACTAAATCGGGTTGGTTTTGACCTTGGTCTGACCATCATACCTGACCTTAGGTCAACATAATTTGCGCATTCAATATTTGTGGTGCCAAAGAAAGCATCTCAGATATGTATGTCTTCGTCGAACACTCCGTTGTTGTATCAGATCGAACGATTCCCTAGAAATTGCCTTCGCTGAAACCGTGGGCTGACCTTGATCTGTCACATGTCACCAACCTTACAAGGTACATCTAATATTTGGATGTCAAACGATCCGCTATGCAATTTTCTACAGCTGTGCAAAATATGGCGCGGCTACGCCGCGCCGTTCAAAAACCATTCGGGAAAAGCCCTTGGGGGGTCAATTTGCCCCCCCCCCCACCTGAGCGCGTGTTAATGTATTCTGTTTCATTTTAATGGCCTAAGATGTTAACAAACGAAATAGTTTCGTCAGGTTTGTGATTTTACGTCCATGCCAACATTAAACAAATGTCTTTGTTTGCTGAAGCATCAGTCACGAGCTCTTAAGTTCCGTCTTTTGTGAATGTATTTTTTCACTCCCGCACGGTCTTTTTGCGATGGAATTTTTCACTCCCACTCTAGTTCAAAAGCGATTCTAGCTCTCTGCATATTGTCTTTCATCATCACAGCATTGTTTGTATTCATGGTGGCATGAGCACGTCCATGTCCACGTCCATGAGCACCATGAGGTATATCGACTGAACAACCAGAGACCACCTGGAGTGCGGACGTAAATTGCACGCGATTCAGCTCAGGCCCGCAACGGCCTTAGGCACCATTCCCAACTCCGAACGAAAGGTGAAAATACGGCGAAAAGGCATTGGGTGCACAGCTTCTCATGCTTCGCCTGTGGTTGTTTAAAGAATCAGAGGTTTCCATTCATCAATGCCTTTCTTTTTCAGTGATTAAACGGATGTGTACAGGGATCCGAAGGGGAGCGTTTTACATGTGTACAGGCTTTTGAACTGATCTTGCGATTTTCAAGAACCTTTAAAGGCATTGAGATAAGCATCAGACGTGATGGGAAAAACTTACTTATAATTAATAGTAAGCTTTCAAGGTTCAAAAACAACGCTAAATAACAAAATTTCAAGGTTTGTAAAATTGCGCCCCATTACATCCTCATTGGATGGCGTCATGGAATGCTTTTGTGACGACAGCAATACTTGGCAGCGTCTAGCAGCCAGACTTAATAACATCCAGAAATGCACGAAAGCTGACGTCGGTCGGCCATTCCTGTCGCGGGCGCTGTGTCGGGTGGCGGATTAATCGATGGTTTGTTTGTGGATTTTTTGTCTTGGTACTGGTCGTTGTAAAGCTTTGGTGAACTGTTTGACATACGCAACATAGCGATCGCCAGCTTTTATGGCAGATTATTATTATTAAAGCACGATATGGCGTGAAAGCTGTCCTATAGTGTCATGAATCTCTTGCTGAAGCCTACCATGGACTGTTAATAATGTCAAAACTGTACTGTCGACCTATCCTTACCGGCAGTGCTGTAGTCCTGACATTGATATAATGTAATGTGCGCAGTAGGTACTTTCGTTATCATTTGTGACTGGAAATGTAGCTCCATGCAATAATTAATAAATCTGTAACACTGTTATAGAGTCATTGCCAAAGCATTATGAATGCCATGGTAAAGATGGTAAAGTTGAGCTTTCAAAAATATTTTTCTTGTATGGGATTGTGTGTGCAATTACTAGTTAGCCCTGATGTACTCATTGTGGTGTGACAGCATTCTCGCTGGTGATAGTCCTTTGGTGTTATTAAATCAGTTGTTTCCAGTCATAATTTATGATAATATATAATATGTATATGACAAATATGATAGATGATATGATATATGATGATATGATAAATATATGATAATCATAATCATAAGTAATATTACCATAATTTATGAACTGTTATCTCATAGGCCTGACAAAGAGTAGTCAGCCAATGTGGTGCATTGTGCAATGGCAGGGGACAACAGCATCATTGTAGGACTACCTGAATGCTGTACCGTGGCATGGCATGACCAATGACATGGTTTTTGTACCGCAACCCCTGCTGCTTTCATGATAAATTTCATGATGAGAGGATGGGTCAAGAGTGCATTCTGGCTTTAACTCCGCAACTGACATATGACTGACCAAAAACGCGTGATGCAATAAACAAATCATTTTCAGCAAAGCGTACAACAAATAAGTGACATCACTTGGTCAGCCGGTTTTGGGAATCCATAAAACATAGGTGGCAAAGATGCAAACGTGTCTTCTGCTTCCACAGCCATGCAACGTGCTGTAGCCATCAGCCTGCTTCACCCGAAATAACAAAATATTACATGCAGTGATATGACACTGCAAACCCGCTGACCTTCCAAAAGGCTGGAGACATGACAAGTGCATGTAGTTATGGTTAGATGAGCGGAATTCAAAAAAAAAAATGATGAAGCTGCCAGTGCACACGAGGCTCATGAAAAATATCATTAAACGCTATCCAAGAAACCAATGGCAATACTTTCCCACCTTT